TGCATGAACATTTAATGTTTGATTTGGTCTGGGGTGTAAGTATAATAAGCATGTATTATGAAAAAAAAATATTTATATCAGTTGTCTAGTAGCTATTGTACAAGCTCTGTTTAGTTTGGGACTAGATGGCGTTGTGTGAATGTGGTAAGAATAAAAAAAAAATTGGTATGTTTCGTTAACCATAGTATGTTTCTAGCTAGTTTGCGATCAGACGACGGTCGTGTGTGGCGTTGAGTTGTGTTTAGCTATAATTATTAAATTTACATGGAGTTTATGAGGTTATGACGATAATATCAGTGTAATATTGTGATAGGTGTACACTTTAGTTTAAGTCAATCATGTGTCATTGATTATACGTAAGTACAAAGTATAACAACTTTTGGCGTACTTATGTTAACACACTTTGAATTGGAGATGGATACGAAACATTTTTTAATCCACTTTGGTTTTATATTTCTGTTTGTTACCTCAAAACTTTATAATTTACAAACCGACTTGAAAGTTTTTTTCACGTTTTTATTTTCTGGAGGCGGAAACCCTTATCGATAATATTAGTATTGTCCGTGATTTCATTAAAATTCATGACATCTGTATCAAAAACAAAAATCCTCTTTTAATACTGCAGTGTAGTTACAAGTTTTTGATCTTGTATCACACCCGATGCATTGTTGTTCATCAGGGCGTACGAATAAATACTTATTCCTGTTGTGTCTTTTTATCTGATAGCCCTTCTAAACGACAGTCATTATTTTTAATTATCTATTGTGAGCACATTTCATACATTACGGCTTCCCAAAGTAATATAATTTGACTGTAAAAATACGAGTCACGTATTGATAAACGTCATTACTAACACCAATAAAAATGTACTCGCCATGTCTGACGTACGAAACCCACTGGATCATGCGTTGAATGTACTACAAGTATTAGCCAATATTCTTAAAAAGGCTTATTACCGTTAACCGGGCACTTTGCGAATTAGATGGGAATATTGAGATTTAAAGGAAAAGTTGGTAAGATCGGCAGTCAAAGGTTTGAAAGGAATATCACTAAGATGGACAGATCAGGGGAGTGTGAGTGATATCGGCTGAGCCTACCCATTTGTGAAGCATGACTCTTCCATATAATTACAGTTTCATTGGTATTCTAGTATTATGAAAAATGGTGAGATTTTCAACTAAGATAACGCAGCGTCTACCACGTTGCTGTCCCTGTTAACTTTTTTTTTAAGTTTTACCTTTGTGCACTTAACCTATACATAAACATTAAGTATTACAAATTTGAGATGCTTCCTTGCATCATATTTGGTTAAACAGGGGTGAAAATAGTTTTCTTTACATAAATATTGTTACATAAATATCGTACAGTAAAAAAAAACATATTTTTCATTTGAATTTGGAATCTGTCTTTCTTATATGAATATTCATTGTTTTCTAATTTTCTAATTTTAAAATTTTGTTGATATTAAAATGGAGGGGGGTGATACAGAGAACCGAATGGCTATGATAGCATTTCATTAAGTAGATCCATATCTAAAAGAGAAAGAATTTCAAAAAAGAAAGTTTTAAAAAGTGCATTTGGCTGTGTAGCAACCGGAAGATCAGCTAAATTCTTCTTTTTAGAGCCCCGCGCTATCGCGGACAAAAGAGAAAGAATCCCAAACACTTGGTATTAGTCGAACGAACGAAATCTCGTCTATTTGTGATAGAAAAATATCTGCCAATCCACATAGGTAGGTAGTATTTTGTTTATCGTGTTACTCAGGGTTCCTCTTTGACTTTAAAAAAGAGAGAAGGTGAAAACTCATCGTTTTCACCTTCTCCCTTTTTTACAATAATATATTTATAGTATTTCACGGGGCATAAAAACTACAAAAAAAAACTTTTGCCTCGCTTTTATTAGTTTGACATAGCTGTTTTTGCACTACGTAAATAACATAAATTCAACTTGTTCAGGCAATATTTCTTTATTTAAGTAACAGTGTAAGTTATTTACGATAGCGTATGTGTTTATTAAAGTATATTTGGAACTTGTTACCTACTGGTGCTTGGTTCTAGGAAAGTTTTTAAATTTAGGGGTCTTTGTAAAGAAAGTCTTATTAAAGTTCCGAACATAAATATTGACAATTCTTTGCGTTTGTTGTTTTCTTTTTTAGGAGTTCTATATAGGACTGTGTCTCTTAATGATATTTAATTAAAAGTTACTTTTGTATTATTAATAAATTGAAAATAAAATCTAGAAACTTGTTTCAGCATTCTAAATAAATTATTTGATTTTCATTTAAAATTTATTGAAGATAAATGAAATAAATAGAGACATGTTTTTGTAATAAAATAAGTGTAGTTTTATAAAGACAGCTATACGGTTTTGCTCACGTGTGTATTTCGCGAATGCCCAACTAATCTAGGACCGGATCCACATTTATACTGATAGAGGTGCTAGCTTTTCTTTCACTGCATTTCACCGAATGCAAGGTACAGGAAGACCCTTCCATAGGGGGGGGGGGGGGAGGCGCCTTATGAATCTTAAGTTGCTGGGGTCCATGGGTAGCGGTAGTCACTTTCCACTAGAAGATCCATCTGTTCTATTGCCCCTAATACAATAAAAAAATTGTATAATTGTATTGTAAGATGACAGAAACAGAAAAATACGTAGCATTATTGTAATGCTGTCAACGATCCTATATATACTCGTAGGTCAATCAACGCACAGCCTATCTTATCTAGTTGTTTATCAATAAAAATTAGAGAAGTCTTTTAAAAAGTTTTTTTGTTACTCACAGTCAATTTTAAGCCGCTCTCGTCTATTTCTGTCTAGGTTACGAGTTGACAGCACGAATCTTTATACATCCGTCTTTTATGTATCCGCTACTCGTAAAGTAGACAGACATTTTGAAATTACTGTACTCTTTACCGTTTCTAGACTATTTCCTGTAGACTTATGGTCAAGAGGTTGCACGTTTAAACCGAATTTTATTGACCACTTTGTACACTACGAGTACCAACCTGAAGTTCCTAATACAAGTATTTAGGTAGAGTAAAAATACCATATCTAAGGATGAAAAATTCTGGATCTTTGAATACAATCATTTTTTTAATGTACATTATTTTACATTATAATATTTATATTTAGTATTTACATTATAATATCAAAACAATGCTTCACGGGGCAGCACATAGTAATGTTACTTTGTTATATTTGCATTATATCGAGTTAATGTTGTGTTTACCTGTCGTTTAGTTCCTCTAAGGGTTAATCATAACAGGGAACGACTCGGGCAACCGAGCGCCGGGCACGCCGTCATTGCGGCGGTAAGACCCGTTATGGAGGATTGGCTCGAGAGGCGTCACGGGACCCTCTCATACCGATTGACGCAGGTGATCACTGGGAAGGGATGTTTCGGAGATCACCTGTGTCTGATCCGCAAGGAGCCAACGCCTGAGTGCCACCACTGCGATGGCCAGACCGTGGACACGGCTCTCCACACGCTGGCAGAGTGCCCGGCGTGGGTTGAGCAGAGGCGAGACCTCGTGGCGGCCATCGGAGTGGGAGTTCTCTCGCTCGATAGCCTGATTGCGGCTATCGTGCGGAGCGAGAGTGCGTGGAACTCTGCCGTCTCCTTCTGCGAGCAAGTTATGCTCGCGAAGGAGACGGCGGAGCGGGACCGGGAGAGGTTTAGAACTCTCCCGGCCCGCCAGGCCCGGGCACGGGCCAGGCAGCGCAGGCGACTCAGGCGCCGGAGGGCGCAGAACGACCTCCGTCCTCCATAAGCGCAGGCCTGGGGGTGACAGGTGAGGCCATCTGTCACCCTAGCAGAAGCAGGCCGGGGTGGCGGCGAGCGCGTTGCGAAGCGCGCTCGCTTTCAGGGAGCACAGGGAACATGGGGTTCCCACACGGGGCGGGGGTCGTCTACTCGTCTGTAGATGACCCGAGGTATGTCGGGGCACCAGGGCCTTCCTTTCTAGGGTATACCTGGTTCCCCGGCTATTAGTACCCGGCGAAGGCGTGCGGTTTTAGTCGGTTCGAGTCCGACATGCCACCGACAGGTGGTATCCGAGGGGATTTCCGCACGGAAAAAAAAAAAAAAAAAAAAAAAAAAAAAAAAAAAAAAAAAAAAAAAAGGGTTAATCATAACAGATTTGAAATCACAACACAAAGTTGAATGTTATTCGAAGCTATGGTTAAAATTTCAGAGCTAATGCGAATGGGAGTCTTTTACTACATGTGTAGGTGTCTCTCTTCACTCGAATGTAAGCCTATTCAAATAATCGATGTAGATACAATAAAATCGGTTTTGTGACCAAGCTACTGTATATTTAGCGATAATTTGTTGACGGGCCTGTTGGTCTAGTGGTTAGTGACCCTGACTGCTAAGCCGGAGGTCGGAGGTCGGTTCGATTCCCACCCAGGACAAATATTGTGTGATGAGCACGGTCATTTCTTCTGTCTGGGTGTAATTTATCTAAAATATGTATGTATTTAAAAATATATAAGTATGTTTATTAGCGGTCTGGTTACCTGGTACAGGCTATGCCTAAATTTTGATCAGACGGCCGTGTGTGAGATGTGTGTGATATATATATTAATATTATAATTTGGTCAGTTTTGCAAATCGATCTTAACCAGGCCTTAGTTCGACTTAATCGATCTTAACCAGGTCTTAGTTCGACTTAATACGACTAAGCAATAGTGTACGTACTGTAATACCTTTTTTTCGATCAATCAAAATACTTTTTCGTTTGGTTTAACTTCATTTTTATAATCAAATAAATAGTTGAGTCTACTTTGTGAGTGAGTGAGTTGAGTGAACTTGAAACTATTTTCTGGACTGTGTTCTATTCTAGTAATTCAGATAGTGTGCATGCGATCCGGTTCTCTCAGATCGTTCATTTTCATATTTTTTACCTGTATTGTAATTCTTAATTAAAGTTCCAAAATACAATTTCAATATGTTACGGCACCTAATGACACCTTGTATCTCTAAGACTATTTGTTCGCAGATCGCTATATCGGCATGCGTCACATAATAGCCACGCTGTTGTTTTTGGCCACAACAGTGTCATACGGGACCAGGGTCAGCATGAGCGTCACCATCGTTGCCATGACCTCAAGTAATTCCACGAGCACCAATAACTTTCCGGTAAGTACGTACGAACTGGTTATAGAACGCTAAATTAACGGGACAATTTATGTACAAATCTGACAATACAATGCAACGCAAAGTTAAGGAATTGTTTTTTTTTTTACCATGAAAATCAACTCTTTATTTCCATTAGAAAAAAATAAAGTGGGACTGAGAAACCCGAATTAAATTGCAACTTTTTTATAATGAAAACCACCAGCTAATACCGGGTAGTATCCATTGCTGCAATTCAGACAAACGCCTAAACGGTCTCACCGTTTTGACTGCACGGATGGCGTAGTGGTTTAAGCGGTCGCCACGCCGCTTCCTACTACGCCGAGTGTTGTGGGTTCAAACCCCACATGGGACGACAGTTTGTGTGATCCACAAATTGTTGTTCTGAGTCTGGGTGTTCTTTGTGTCCGTTTCATGTATGTTTGTAAAGTCCCCCGCGACACAGGATTTATTCCTAATGCGGGAGTTGTCTTTTTTAAAAAACAAACAAACAAACAATGGAATCCTAGTATATTATGGCCCACACCTATCAAAAATGTTTAGAATAATAAAACTGTGTATTTAGTATTATCTTCAAGACTCGTTAAGCTTTGTACAGAGCTTCCTGAAGTTTAAATGGGACATGTTACGTTTGTAAATAACAAACATTATTTATATAAACCACAGTTACTCGTAGTTCGGAGTCTGGGTATAATTTGTGTCTGCGTTGTTGTACCAAGCCATTGCCATTTAATTATTCCTTTAACTCTATTAATAGCACATAAAAAGGACGTAAGAAGGATAGTGACACATTACAATAATTAACGGTTTTTGGTATAAGAGATTATTTATAGTAGATATCCTTTTCAGCGTTACCTATCTAATTTATAGCTGAGTGTTGGTTATTGGCAGAGGATAAGTAATTATCCTTTTAAGCGAATGTAAGATTAAGAAACTTTTTTTGTAACTGGTCGTTACTTTGTTCCTTTATTACTGGGGTTGCGTATGTGTACAGAGAGAAATAATAAGTCTATGAACAACTTATTTAAATTTATTAATTACGACTGTATACAATATATATGGGTGTGCTGTAGTACGGTATACAAGACGACCACGGAACAACTGTGGTTCACAGCGCACTACAGTACCGATAACTCAAAACGTTGCGTCAGCATTCCCGCAACACTATTTCCCTCTTTTTTTTAAAAAAAAAAAAAATATTTATATTTTTTTTTTTACAACACAAAATCTTAATTCTAATCAGTATATTTATCAAACAATATTTCTTGTGAATTTACTTTGTCACCAAAGGTGACATCATCTTTCTGCTCAATCAACAGTTTGCAACTTAATATGAGTACTATGCTATGTATTGTTATGCGATAAGCCTGTGAATACATTCCAACATTGTAATAGCGACAAAAGTTTTAACATTCATTATCACGCTATTTAAAATTTAGATATCAGCAGCGTACTTAAATATTAATTTACCATGACTTTAACACAATTATTTATTCTTATATTACGCATATAATATAATATGTTTGGGTTACATTTTGTTATCCTGTCTTGACATCGTTGTGGCCGGACATCAACAACACAAACCATGCAGCTTGTTCTATGACCGAATAGCAAAATATAACACACACTATTAAATCGTTACAAAATAATTTCAATCACATACACACTTAATAACATGAATGCACGAAGATTTCTCGATCAATAATCAGTAAACCACTTTATGAGGTGCAGACGTTCCATTATTAATTTGCGGCGGTTGCATAGTTTCTACCTTAATATTTGGTAAGGTTATAGAACTAGCAACCATTTCTTTCTTCAACCATTTCCTGACGCCTTTAGCACATTTTCGTTTTAATGCATATCCAATCACTATAATCAGTAGTACTATAATAATTATCATAACGATACCAATCATATTCAACTTGTTATCTACTTGAGCTGTGCTGGATATATTTTCGTTAACAACAACTTTGTCCTTTGTCTGTAAGTTGCCCATTTCCTAATTAATCAACTACGACGTACAGGTATCAAACACTAAATGAATTTATAATACATTTTCTATTTCATATTAACACGCAATTATATAACCAAATGTCCTAGTTAAATTATTGTCTAATCAGCAAAATTAATTGTTACAAATACTTCGTTGGCTTTTTGCTGACTCGTCCTGTTCTCGTAGTATAACCAAAGCTACTGGGTTCGGCTGTTTGAAAAGTTACTTTTTTCTGAACTTTTTGACAGACAGTTTTACCACTATTATCTACTACTTCCGGTTGTACTTTATCCTCTGCTAACATAAATGCAGGTTTAAGACGGTCTATAGAAACTCTAAGTTGTCTGTCTGGCAATTGTACACAAAAAACTTTATCAGTTCTATTAATGACGCGATATGGTCCGTCGTAAGGAGGTTGTAACGGTTTCCTTACTGCGTCATTTCGAACAAAAACATAATCGCACGTATACAAATCTTTATGCACAAAAATTTTACGTGATGATCTATTTTCTCTACTAGACGGTTTATATTCGTCAATAACTTCTTTTAACTTGCTAACGTAATCATTATCATCACACGATTTCACATTGCTTCCATCATAAAAATCACCAGGTAATCTAATATTATTACCATACAACATTTGTGCGGCGGTTACGCCTGTATCTAACCTAATTGTCGTGCGTAATCCTAACATTACAGTTGCCAGTTCATCTACCCAAGACTTATTGCTTAAACGAGCTGTAATTGCAGTTTTCAACGATCTATGCCAACGTTCTACTGTTCCATTGCACTGAGGATGATACGGGGTGTTTCTTGACTTTTTAATTCCCATTAATAACATTAGTTGTCTAAATAAGTTACTTTCAAATTGTCGACCTTGATCGCTTGTGAGTTTAACTGGACAACCAAAACGACTAATCCAACCCTCGTATAACGTCTTTGCGACTACTTCTGCAGTCATTTCCTTTATAGGAAAAGCTTCTGGCCAACGTGTAAATCTATCCACTATGGTTAAACAATACCTATATCCTTCAGTTGTGATTGGCAAAGGACCTATTAAATCTATATGTATATGCTCGAAACGTTTAGTAATCTCAAATTGTCCTAAATTAGATACTGTATGCTTCTGTATTTTCGCTCGTTGACAATTTATACATGTTTTGGCCCAATTACCGATGTCTCTATTCATATTTGGCCAAAAATATCTATCTGCTATTATTTTTCTACTAGCTCTAATGCCTGGATGGCTCAAGTTATGTATCGAATCAAAAGCTAAACGCCTAAATTGTTCCGGTAAATAAGGACGTATGTTATTAGTAGATGTTTCGCAAACAACATGCTTATTGGGTACATTTAAAGTTACACGCTTAAATATCAACTTACAGTTGTTATCCGATTCACTAAGAATTTTTGCAAGCTGTTCGTCGACTTCCTGCGCAACTGCCAGTTCTGCGAAGTCGATAATCGTGGGACTTGTTATTGTTTCAATTCTAGATAATGTGTCCGCTACAATATTATTTTGACCACTAATATGCCTTATATCAGAACTAAATTCACTAATAAACATGATTTGCCTGGCCCGCCTTGATGTTTCTCTATTTGTACCTGATTTCGTAAATGCAAAAGATAAAGGCTTATGATCAGTATAAATAATTAAATTTTGACCTTCAATTAAATAACGAAAATGAATTATGGCTAAATAAATTGCTAAAAGTTCTCTATCATACGTGCTATATTTCTTTTGCACTTCTGTTAACTTTTTAGAAAAATAACCTAAAGGTTTCCATTTGTCAGCAATTTTTTGTTGTAATACTGCACCTACGCAATTGTCTGACGCATCTGTCATTAATGAGAACGGTGTGTCTATAGATGGATAACCTAACAATGCAGCATTTTTAAGATCTTCCTTACATTGTTCAAAATTTTGTTCGGCCTCTATTGTCCAATTAATTTTACTTTTATCTTTACGTTTAGAAGAACTTAAATACTTATATAAATGTAATTGGTGGGCTGCCGAATGCGGTATGTGTGCTCTATAAAAATTTAACATACCCATAAATCTTCTTAGTTCCTCAATAGTGTTAGGTTTTGGAAAATCAATAATAGCTTTAACCTTATCCGTTAAAGGTATAATTCCTTCAGTTGTGACTTCGTAACCTAAAAAATCTAATTTTGTCTTTCCGAAACTACATTTAGCGAAATTAATTGTTATCCCATACTCGTTAAATCTTTCAAAAACTTTAAGTAAATGCTGTTTATGCTCGGTTTCATTATCTGAGGCAATTATTACGTCATCCAAATAATTAAATAAAAAATCTAAACCTTGTAAGACGGTGTGGTGCATAAAGCGCTGAAAAGTTTGTGCTGCATTACGCAATCCGAAAGGCATTCGCATAAATTCAAATAACCCAAAAGGTGTTATGACAGCCGTTTTCTCAATGTCATTTTCGGCTACGGGTATACAATTATATGCTCTATTTATATCTAACTTCGTAAATATTTTCTTATTCGACAAATTATACATAAAATCGTGAAGACGGGGAACTGGATAACGATCCGGTTTAGTAATCGAATTTAAACGTCTATAATCACCGCAAGGTCTAATATTTCCATCCTTCTTTGGCACGATATGTAAAGGACTTGCCCAAGCGCTATTACTCGGCCTACAAATCCCAAGCTCTTGCATAACTTTAAATTCATTTTTAGCTTTAACATACCTGTCTGGTGGTAGCTGCCTACTTTTCACGTGCACTGGTGGTCCTGTGGTCTCTATGTGATGACAAACGCCATGTTTAGGTGTCTCCTTATATGAAACAGGCATAGTTAACTCGGGAAACTTACATAATAAATCATAATAAGGGCAATTATCAACAATTGTCTTTACAGTGGACTCAGTTGAACTCGAAATGGTACCTCTAATGCTTAAATTAGTTAACTGATCGATTAATCTTCGTCCGTTCAAATCAATTAACAGCTTATGCTTAGCTAAGAAGTCAGCACCTAATATTGGTTGCTGTACGTCCGCTAATATAAATAACCAACGGAAAGCTCTTCTAAGGTTAAGATCTAACTCTAAACAATGCGTACCATATGTATTAATCTCGGTTCCATTCGCGGCATACAATTTATAACGTACATTATTTTTATTACCTTTAATATGTGCTATGCTGCGGGGTAGCACAGACACATTAGCACCGCTATCCACTAAGAAAGTTAAACCTGTTTTCCTGTCCATCACACAAAGACGGTTGTTAGAATCTACGCGGCCACAGCCTCCCGTCGTCGGCTGCACCGACGTTAGTTTTCCGACGGCTTGACATCTTTCTTCCAGTTGCACGGCTGGACGCACTTATTTGCCCGATTCTTGTATCGATAATGATAGTAACACAACCAATTGGGATCTTCAGGTGACTTCCCACGCGTCCTTGACTCTGATGACGATCGCGATCTTGATCCGTAACGCCTTCTGTTACCTTTCTGCCAGTGCCTTCTTGATCTAGTTTCTAATTTTTCAAGTCTTTCGCTTATTTTATCAAGGTGGGCTATTACCAAATCGTCTTTATTCAAGGTCAGCGATTTTCCTTCCACCGCAGCGATACTGGGTATTGGCGTCGCGGTCTCCATTACCTTATCCGCGATAGTTGCTAATTTTTCTAAATCATCTTCATTTGTCACAGCCAATACTCCTCTGACTGATGGTGGTAGGTGATTTTGCCACATCACCACTAGTGTCTCGTTGGTGACTCTATTGCGAGCTAGGTCCTGCATTTTTCTCAATAACTGCGATGGTTTCTGGTCTCCTAACTCCATTTCGCCTATTAGTTTCTTTACTTGTCGTTCTTCCGACTCCTGGTAAATCAATATTAATTTTTGTTTCAAATTTTCATACTTATTTTTCTCTGGCGGATTTAATAAAATTTCTGTGATCTGCTCTATAACTTCTTGGCCTAATTTCGATATAATGACTTGATATTTCGCTTCATCAGACATCTTCTGCGGTTGTAGTACTGCTTCTACCTGAATAAACCAGGTTTTCGGCGACTTCTTCCAAAACTCAGGTATTCTTGCCGTGACGGAGATAGTGGATAAATGATACTCTTCGGTGGCTATTTTTCTTTCTTCGGTAGGCATGTTTAACGTAATCACGACTCGTATAAGTACCGATATTAAAAAACAACACTACAGCACAAGTGAGTTGCCCGTTCTAAACAGTCTCAATCTGTACACAATATCACAAAAGTTCTTTAAAATTACCAAATCACAGTTCAGTCGGGGTCACCACTTTTGTAACTGGTGGTTACTTTGTTCCTTTATTACTGGGGTTGCGTATATGTACAGAGAGAAATAATAAGTCTATGAACAACTTATTTAAATTTATTAATTACGACTGTATACAATATATATGGGTGTGCTGTAGTACGGTATACAAGACGACCACGGAACAACTGTGGTTCACAGCGCACTACAGTACCGATAACTCAAAACGTTGCGTCAGCATTCCCGCAACACTTTTACAGCGAAAAAATTTATAGTTTCATCATCATCATCATCATCGACAGCCTTTAATAGTCCACTGCTGGACATAGGCCTCTCCTGAGGCAAAACAACGCAGGACACCAGCACTGCAAAAAGAAGGAAAACTTGATACAAACCCTATACCAACCCGTCTGGCCAGCGTGGTATAGTAGGCCAAATCCTCCTTTCTCAGGAGAGGCCTATATATAGTTTATAGATTGGTAAATAAAAGACTAATCGTGATTACATGCAATTTGAATTCGATTTTCAAAATATTACTTTGGTTTCAATTATCTTACATTTTGCAACGTAGACATCTAACTGATTCTACATTGAAGACAAATCGGAGATATTCGTCTGAGAGCAATCGTACGACCACTGGTGATGCTGACCGATTTAGGACAGTAACAAGCTAACTAGCTATTAAAAAAAAAAACAAAAAACAACAAACCGGGGATGTTAATGTTTAAAACTATCAAATACCCGTTGTCACTCTCACAATTTATTAAGTAGAATAAGAAATATCTTCGTGAATCAACGCAAAAGGGACGCCCCTCTTTAATATTTTAATTCTCGATAAGGTTATTGATACAGGATTGCCAATAATTTTCTCTGTTATATTCGTTAGTTATGTCAATGTGGTGACGGATTAAGAATACAGAGTGTCACTATAACTGTTTGTGTCCCTTGGGTGTCGTAAGAGCCGACTAAAGGAGCAAACTACGCAGGACAACAGCACTACAGAGAAGAGGAAATCTTGACACAAACCCTATACCAACCCGTCAGAACAGCGTGGTATAGTAGGTCAAAACCTTCTTTCTAAGGAGAGGCCTATGTCCAGCAATGAACTATTAAAGGCTGTTGATGTGTGATGTGATGTGATTCGTTAGTGATGAGTTTTTGTTTTTCCAGGTGTTCGATTGGAATCGCAGTACCCAAGATATGATATTGTCGTCCTTCTTCTGGGGCTACATCGTGCTGCAAGTCCCGGCGGGCATGATCGCCGGTCGTTTTGGTGCTAAATATTTACTATTCTTCTCAATGGCCAGCACCGGGATTATTAACTTATTACTGCCCTTAGCTGCTACAGCCGTGAGTGGTTTTGATAATTTTTAAACTAGACATAACTCCTCATTTGACTGTGATATATATACTCTATAGCAGAGTTCTGTTTAGTTACCATCACTGCATTTGTTGTTATCACGTTCTTATCTTATTTTAATTATTTTGCTGTTGTATTTGCAATGTTTTACCTATTTTGTCAGTTTACCCCCTTTCAAGCTATAGCTTTTTTACGCACATACATGCAGTTCTCTACTCTTTAATCCGTAACTTGCGACACACAACTTTCTTTACCGTATTTTGCTTATTCTTTCGCATTACATATCCTCCATTCTAAAGACATGTCCAAATAAAACTATTGCAGTTTTGTAACCATTTCATCACCAACTAACTGTATCAAATTTCTTAGGGCTTTGTCTTATGGTATCGGATTTATTCTTATTTTTGCCGCGGGTCACACATCATTAGTATTCTTGTTAACCCTTAGTTAGTAGTTAGCTGTTCGTTAACAGTGTTTCAGGTGAAGCGTACTTGTTGTAATACTAGGCGTAGCAGTTACTTTGAAACTTTTGATTATATTGTTCAATAAAAGTTCAAAGGAGAGAGAGAGTAGAATATTAATTATACTAATAAATTAAACGAAACTCGATTCTATCCCAATGTAAGACGTGTCTGGCAAATCTTTGTATTGGTTAAAAAAATATCTGTCTATCTAAAAGATAATTTATTATGTCTTTTACGGATATAATGAGTTAATTTCACTTAAAAGAACACAAACTCTCAGATGGATACACTTTTGGGAGACATTTGGCTTCGATCCAGAAGCTTTGCACTAAAATTCCGTATAAGCTCTGAAACTCATATCGTTTTCATTGCACCACTTGTGCAGTCGGCAACAATTCTGGAGAGGGTAGGTGGTGTGGGAATACTGCAAACTTATCGTTATTACACTTTCTTGTGTTTGATTTGACTTCTTCTAAAGTTTTCTTATTGGCTTGACTAATATGTGACCTCAATAATTAAAGACACTTATACACCTTAAACTGTTTATACTCGAAATCATGGTAGTGCAACACAAATATTGATTGATTCTTAAAGCTTGTAGCCACTTTCATGTATTGCATAAAAGCTTGGCTCCCATAGGAGATGATCTACGAACTCACAGCATAATGTTTATTTAAGTATAACAATCTTTATCACTTAACATTAGACCAACCGCCTGGTTAAACTATCATCTATTTGATCAATAGGATTATATTCAAGACTCATAACAAGGCCTTTCATTTCACGGAACTGTTGGTGTAGATAGGTGGTTGTTGTTGTTGTAGGTGTGGTTAGTGATTCTGATCTGCTAATCGATTCGGTCGAGGTCGATTCTGCTAATCCCTCCCAGAACAAATTTTGTGTTAGGGTGTAATTAGTCTATAATATGTATGGAATTCTAAATATGTGACTAGGACCACCCGTCCTAGGGCACCGCCCGAACGATGCACGGATGGCGTTTAAGCGGTCGCTATGCTGCTTTCTACTGCGCTGAGTATTGTGATTCACAAATGGCACCACTTTGTGTGCTTCACAAATTATTGTTCTGAGTCTGAGCCTTAGTATTTCGATATCCGGACCGGGCAAAATTTAATAGGATTTTACTGATGAAACAATAGCCTTAGTTACTTTTCGTAATAAACAGCTACCTGGTAGCAAAATATTTTTTAAATCGGTTCAGCCGTTTTCAAGATTACCTGAAACAAATAGACTGACAGAAAGTCAGACGGACAAAAAATATTTAAACTGTTTTTTAGGCATAGGTATCGTATTTATTTCTATAGATGAGAGAGTTGTCTTTTTGAATAAATAATATTTTTTTTAAATAACATTTATGTATCAGCATTCTGGTTACCATAGTACACAGTCTGCGTAGCTTGAGCTCAGAAGGTCGTGTATAGAATGTGTGAGTTTAGTACTATTATTTGATATTATTATTCATTACTATTATTGTCACAAGGTACAGGATATGCCTAAACTTACTCAAATCTGTAGTGTGTGAAGAAGTACAATGATAGGGATAAATAAATATGTCAAATTTAAATTTACGCCCCCACTTTTCACTTAGAGACCAATTTACCAAATGCAGTTTCAAATTGCCCCCATATTTCTTGCAGAACTTTAGATAAACGAGCAATATATTTGCGAATGACGTCAAAGCAAGACGGCTAGTATTGTAAGTTGAATGTTTATGGGCAGTCGGTGGTCATGGGTAATTATTTATGTGTAGCCCACTGTAGTGTCTTTGGTGACTGATTTACAATGAACACTTCTGGGAGTTAGATGAATATTTTGGGTACGATAAAGCTTCTCGTACATGATACACGTGAATTATAAATGTTTAACAGTTAAATAGGACGATTTAGTTAAGACGTGAATTTTTTTAATTAATAATAAATAAATAATAATAATATTGTACCACATTCATACAACGCCATCTAGTCCCGCACTAAGCAGAGCTTCTACTATGGCTACTAGACAACTGATATAAATACATAATAATATATACCTTTTTTTTGTAAATACGTACATTTTGTACGTGAAAATATCCAGACCAAATCAAACGTTAAGTGCTCATGCACACAAATGTTTGACTTGAGCGGGAATCGAACCCGCGACCTTTGGAATAGCAATCCGTTAAACAAAACACTACGCCATCGATCCATTATTTGTAAGATCGCAGGCGCAAATCGCAGACACTGCTAGTTCGAATTCATTCGAATTATTTTAGTGTTGGATACCCAATTTATCAAAAAAGGCTGTATAATATCACGTTACGACTAATGGGAGACGAGCATCAATGCAAAATTTTGCAGAACCGGGTAAAGTTATTCCTTTTGAGACTAGCTAGTTGTTAATATCATGATAGTTATTGTATATTATGAAATCTTTTAACAAGACATTGGATTATTAAACTAAATTGTGACCAAAATACCACACCGCCTGAAAAAACTTATTTTTTTTTACAAAAAGTGTAAGGTGATATTATTTTTCAAGACAATTAAGAGAGAATTTATTTAAATAATGGCGTTAAATCTCGACAGTACGACAGCAGACTTATGGTTCACAAAGAGTTATGGTTATGAAATCGAACTGTGCCAGTTCAGAGTTCACCATAGAGATATGGAGGCGGAAATGCTCGCCGAAGTTTATCAACGATTGGTTAAGTTTCGGGTAACTGCAAGGTTCAACTCCCACATAAAGACGTGCCTCATTTGTCGTCTTGACTCGAAGCTAGCTAGCTATTATTTTGTCTTGTTGTTTGAATTAAAATCATATGCTGAAAGTATATGATTTTAATTCCGAGATTTTAACAATTTCCTTTATTTAGTCAAAAATCGGGCTATATAAAATTGTTCCACAAGTCACACTCGTATCACAAAGCAAAATAAGTTTATAATTTAATGATACAATTAGCGTTTCCTTACTTAACGTTTTATCCATATATTTTTTTTATTTTTTTTGTAGCTTTATACATATCTTTATATAAGAAAATTGCATGAGTAAATTCTTTTATTTCATGCTTTTTAAAGCACCATTTTAAATCCAGTAATGGGAGTTACCCCATGTAAATTATGTTTTAAAATGTGTTTGACCACCGGTCCGTGATTCCGTGGCATTTTACAGCTCACAAATTTTTATAGCATGTCGCATTCAGTGAAATTTATATTACCAGGCATTTTCTGCTAAAATAAACGAACAAATACAGTAATGTAAATTTTCATTGTTAGGTGCTACTAAAATATTATAACAAAATTTGTGTATCAGAATGCATGCGGCTTAAATTTTTACCAGACTATGGCTTAGTAACGATCCAGGAAACAATACCCTAGAAACCCCAGGCCTGATTAAACCGGTGCCGTATCGATTTGGTCTAGTAATGCACTTATCGCCTTTTCCTCACAATAGTACATCCAGTAAATATAATGTTTATTTACTATAAATTCTTTTCATTTATTTATTTTTATCTTAAACTAAACGTGAATTAAACTAAACGTTAGAACTATAAGTGTTGAAAGTTGAAAAAAATCATAGAAACCCTTTTAAATAAAAGTTGAAACGACTTCAAACAATACTGACAAAGCACTAAAATTAAAAAAATAATTCCAAATCTATTTAAAAAATCTATAATGAGTGCCCTCAATATAACAGGTAACATTATAATAACAATAGTCCCTTCTAGTCTGTTTGAAGTCGGTGCCAAGCCCGATGCACAATAAATAATACTGGTCTATGTCAGCTTTATATTAGCACAATAAAGAATTAGACACACATGGAATAAATAGGGGTATCACCATATTACTATATACTCCATATTTTTAATCCATCACCACATGTATAGTCGCTTAATTAGGCGTCCCATCTGCTCGTTAGCGCCATTTTAAACAAAAAGCCTAGAAATCTTTGAGATGTTTTTTCTGCCTCGATCGCGCTTGCTTTGCGTTTGTGAATGATGTTAATTATGATTATTGATTTTGTTGTAACTTTTATTCACACTTGCTACACAGAAATACTCGTAATATAAAAACGTCATTCGTAAATCTAAAATCAAATTGCCAGCTTAGTGTTGAATTCGACGGGAGACCGAAAGCGTTTACACTCCATCAAGTGCGGGAAAGAGTAATAAATGAGAAGGATATTTCGGAACATAGGATTTTTGGCAGCGGCACGTGTCCCTAGCTGGGCCGTGGCGATAGAAACAAAACTGTGTCATTTGTAACTAAAGGGAATTAAGGGGTATACTTTACGAAGAAAAAGCTATTTTTTAAAAGCGTTTAAACCTATACGCCGTTTTGGTTGTGTGTGTTGTGTGTATCCTAACGTCTTTTGGCTCAATAGATCAAAGTACATGCGGGAGGGGCCGGTGACCCGTATTACAGGTGGTGCATTGGCACAAACCTACAACTGGCACCAGTCTCTCACAACATTATTATTATTGTTGTTTATTATCCTGTTGAAAATACATTTCAAAAGTTTAAATAAAGATT